TCTTTCCTGGTCTGTGTGTCCTTCTGGATCCCCACACCAAGCCGTAGTGCACGGCCTGTCCAAAGGAGGGGCAGTGACCGGTGGGTGAAGAAGGAAATGGGGAAGAGGCTGGACGGGTGGGTGGAGGCAGTGAGGCCCCTAGCACATGCTTGTTGAGGACCTACTGCGAGCCAGGCCCTGTGCGTGCCCCCGACAAAGATCTCTCTTCTTGAGCTGCGGAAAGACAGACGATAAATTAATTATTAATAAGCAAATCAATATGACATCTCTCCAGACTATGGTAAGAACTGCGGGGCAAAATAGCCCAAGGAAAGGGGCCGAGTCCTGAGGGAGGCAGCCCCAGCCCAGCAGGAAGCCGTGCCCCTCCCACCTAACACAGATGGGACCTCAGGAGCATCTGGGAGGGGCCAGGAAGACAGCCCGATTCCTAGGCCCCAAGTTTCCCACGGCCTCGGAGATGCCACCCACCCGAATGAGGACACAGGGTGACTTCCTATATACCCACTGGTGACTCCTGGCTTTTGGCAGCCATGCTACTGAGCCACACCACCCTGCCCTTGAGGCCCCTGGCCGTCATGCAATCCCCAAACTGTCACTCAGGAAGCAGGGGTTGGGGCTGGAGCCCCAGGCTTGGGCCCTCTTTTGCTGGGGAAAGTTGCTTAACCTCTCTGTGCCTCAGGTCATCTATTAAACGAGGACAACTGCCTTTGCCCTGCTTGGCCTCCAGAGGCAAAGGGAGTCCGTTTGGCATGCCCTGCCAACAGCAGGTGCCCGAGGAGCATTTGAGAGGGTCGGGGTTTGTCTCTAGGACCTCCCCAGTCCATCCCCTGGAATGAAGGCTCCCACTCTCACCTGACAGCCACAGAACAGATCCCCGTAGCTACAAATCTCCAGCCAGGCCTGGGCTGAACCCATTTTGTGGATTAGACCATTGACTTCTTACAAGGCAGGAAGCACTTTGTACTGTGAGTTTACAGACAAGGGGCAGAGGGGTTAAGGAGTGGGACTGAGGTCACGCCCACACAGTCTGCCTTTGGAACTCACCCCAGGACCCTGGGTAAGCCCTGCCTCCCCCTGCCCACCTCACCCCCACTCACGGGGGAACCTCAGGGAATCAGAAGCCTTCCCTGGAGAGCCTCAGAAAACCCCAGCTCTGGCATTCTGTGCTCCCCCCAGAGCCAGGCTCAGCTTCTACACCCCTCAGAGAACTGACAAGGCCCCCAAGGTCAGGGGGTGAGCTCCCCGTCCCTGAGGGAAGCCAAGGAGGTGCTGAGCTGGGGCACTACAGGGTCCTCTGTGGGGGGGACTAAGCCATCTCCAAGATGGCTTTCTATTCATGGGTTAATTGACCTGGGCCAGTTTCTGCATTCATGCACTGAACTAATATTTGCCCAGTAACGACTACGTTCCAGGACGAACTTCCCAGGTAGACGGCAGAGGTGCCATAGGGCGGGGAGAGCAGGCTGCCCGGGGTCCCCGGCTGCACCTGCTGGTCCTGTCTGCACACTGTGAAAGCCCACCCCTGCCTGCTGGGAGGATCCTATGGGAAGAGGTTGATGGCCCCCCTGCTGTCCTCAGCATGGCCTCTCTGTTGAATGGAGATGGCCTCTGCTCTTCCATTAGGACAGCAGGAAAACCCTCCTCCCTTTTGGCAACTTCTGGAAGAAGGTGGTCTCTACGGCCAGTTGCGATGTCCAAGCCGATGGCTCTGGGATGGAGCCCTGTGGCCAGCCGCACAGCCCCACTGTGCTCTCAAATGAAGGCAGCACCTGCATCCCAGCGACCTGGGAAGCTGAGCCTGGAGGATCCCAAGTGCCACTTACGCAAGACCCTGTCTCGAAATGAAAAGGCGGGGGACGCAGCTCAGTGGTAGAGCACTGGCCTCACATGCACAAGGACCTGGGTTCAATCCCCAGCACCCCCAAAACATCAAATAAAATGAAGGAAACAGGTCGGGGGACAGCCCTCAGCATGACCTTGCCCCTCAGCATGACCTTCCCCTTGTTGAAGTTATGGTGAGTTCACGCCCCACTCTGCATCCTTGGGTCAAGTTCAAGTCCAGCCTTCCAGGTTCTGCCAAAGTCAGCCACCCGTCTGTGCTCTGTCTGGGGCCAAGAGACCTTGTTCCCACCCTGGGTCTGTCACTCACAGTGTGATGCTGAGCAGGTCAGGGCCCTTCTCAGAGCCTCAGAATCCCTCATCTGGACAATAAAAGGACCCCTGCTGAGGTGCTTTCAAGTGGATCTCATGAGGACCTTTGCGGCAGGGGCAGGAGCCTCTGGAAATGCACCGTGTTAGGAGAAGGCTCACTTGACTGCCCCAGTGGCTCTGAGCAAGGGCTGCTGCCATTTTACAGATGAGGAAACTGAGGGCAACCAAGAGCCAGGCCTCCGTGAGTCAGTAGCACCAGGCCACATCCTTGGTGTTCCGTGCAACTCAGGAGCTCTCTGTGAGCCGCGTCGGGTTTGCTCTCCAGGTTTGCCCGAACCTCAAGTTGACTGAGTCCTTTGGGGATCAAGATTGAGGCCACTGAGTCACCACCTTTGGGGCATTTCCAGCCTCAGGGCATCTTATCTGGGCCTCACCAGGCCCCCTCGGAGTCAGCACCCACCAAGGCGTACTGAACACAGGAAGCAGGTGAAAACCAAACGCCGAGACTGTGGGGCAGAGGCGGGGACCAGAACACGGCAGCTCAGGCCACAAAGAAAGCGTGACTTGGGGAACCCACTGTAGCCAGGCAATCAGGGAGGCCTCGTGGAGGAGGTGACTTTTGTAATAAGGTGCTGGTGGGTAGGGAGGGTCCAGCCTTGGGGAGAGCGCACCTGGGCACAGAACACCAGGGAGGAGGAACATGTGCACTGTACTCCCAGAGCAGGTGGGTTTAAGCAGGTGTTGAGGGGATCGATTTATTCTCAAGAAGAGCAGCTGGAGGACCCAGCCCAGGTCAGAACTGGAGAATAGCCCTCCTGCGTCCTGGCTGCTGATACCTCACCACAGGGTCCTAATAGTCAGAGCCTGGCAGAAGCAACCACCCCAGGACAGAGGGTAGAGGAGCTGCCCACCCTCATCCCAGGGCAGACACAACGCTAGTCCTCCCAGAGCATCTGGAAAGCAGGCCTCCCTCCTCCGGCGGGCAGCCTGACCCTACCTGCCCCCCAGGCCTCCGCAGCCTTGGACAGCCAGGCACAGTGGACCCCCCCCCCCGCCCTTCCCAGTGGTGTGCTGGCGGATGCTAACAGCAGGCTCTCTGCGTGTTGTTTGGATGTGCCTGTTGTTTCCAGGTCCTTGACCAGGTAAGATGAAACAGGGAGGATCTATGTGGGAACCTCATTTATAGTCATGTGCACAATGTTTTGCTGAACTGGGAACAGAATTCAAAATACTGAAAAACTTGGCTGAATCGGATCCTCAAGTTCCGTTTTTTGTGAGTTACTCGTGATGCGACGACCACAGACATGGTACCTGTGTTGAACGTGCTGTTGACATCTTCTCTGCCACTTGCTCCAGTCTCCCCATATGACCAGCAAAACGGTGAATTGACACCACTTGCAGATGCCCACGTACACACATTCCCACCAGAGCCAATTTCAAGATACCAAGCAGCAGACACAGAACTGGGAACAGATGCCCAGTGGCTTGGCTTTATCTAGTGTTTCTACGATGACACACCCTGAGGTGCCAGGTTTAGGACTCAACAAATGGATTTGGGACAAAGGGTGACAAGATTCAGCCTATGACAATCAATTGTTGCAAAATTTGGTAATTGGGTTTATATCATTTAACTCTTTTTGGTTTTTGGTATCAGGGATGGAACTCAGGGGCACTCGACCACTGAGCCACATCCCCAGCCCTTTTTATGTTTTCTTTAGAGACAGGGTCTCGCTGAGATGTTTAGGGCCTCGCTTTTGCTGAGGCTGGCTTTGAACTCAGGATCCTCCTCCCTCAGCCTCCCATGCCACTAGGATTATAGGCGTGTGCCCCCATGCCCACTTGTAATTTAATTCTTAATAGTGTATAACAAACAACTCACAAAATGTCTAGAAATTGAGCCCCCGTTCCAGTGAGCCAGGACAGGCAGACCCCAACCCACCACTGCCCCTGCCCTCCCCTCAGCCCTGTCCCGAGTCCCCAGCCTGCTTCCTCAGGCTCAGAAGTGGACAGGCCAGGAGAGCTGGGCTGGGTCCTGAGCATCTTCTCCAAGGAACCCCAAGAACCTGGTCTCCTCCTCTCAGGAAGGGCCCTGAAAAAAGGCTGCTCTGGGGACAGTCCAGCTGCCCAGGGCCAGGAAGAAGCTCAGAAATCGCAGCCTGGTCTGTCCCTCTAGGGTGACCAGCTGTCTCACTTTGCCTGGGCCTGTCCATGCCTTAGCAATAAAAGTTCTGCATTTCAGGAAACTCCTTAGACTTGGACAAACTGGGACAGCTGGTCACCCCACCTCGTATGTGCTCGCGACAAAAAGAAAGAGCTCATGATGCTAAAATCAGTAAAAAAAAAATAAGCAGAAAATGAAGGCCGTGTCTCTGTCAGTCTCGGGGATCTGTCCCTGCTCCGAGGCAGGGCTGGTACCTGGGGGCTGCTTGGACAAGCTCCGCGTGGCATGGCGGGAGGGATGGTGTCAGATTTGCACGTCTGGTCAAGCCTCATGTTGGTGAGGTTGGGGACAGGTGGCAAGGAGCGGCAGTCCCAAGAGGGTGAGAGAGGACCCTGGAGTGGGTTCAAGTCCTAACTCTGCCACCCATGAGGTGCCTGACCTTGAGGAGGTGACCTACCACTCTGCCTCGGTTTACCCATTGTGACATGTCCCTTCTCCGTGGGGTGGTTGTGGAGTTTGAGGTCGACCTTGAGGAGCACAGTGTCCCCGCTTGTTCCAAGCCCTGGGGCGATGCTGTCGGGAGGTAGAATTGTGGGTGCTTCTTTATCTTTTTCTGCTACAGAATTATTTCCTCTGTGGCTGTTCCAATACCGTGTGTGCAGTCAAAACAAAACAAAAACCATGAGTATCTAGGTCCACCGCAGTGTATAAATAGAGCCAGAAACCACATTGGGGACTGCATTGGGGTCCATGGGGGCACATGGAGGCTGTGTCTGGCCGCTGCTGCCAGCTCTGAAGCACCTCACCTCGGAGATGCATTCTCAGAACAGCTGACCGGAGAGGTGGCAGGGCCTCCCCGAGGGCACAGCTCCGACAGCTGAGGAAACAGGAGGTGGGCGAGTGTGGCTAAGTCAGAGAGGGTGTCTGGGTCCCCAGGGCAGCCCAGCACAGACCCCTCCTCCGCGTCTGACACCGATTCTGTCCCTGTCGTGAAGCAGCCTGGTACCTTGGCCCCAAAGGGGGGAACTCTGCCCCACGACACAGAAGAGGCAGCCGCACCCCGCCCCAGTTGGTGGGAATAAGCCCCCTGAGTTTCCACTGCCCAGGGTCCCTTCCCAATAATGAGTCCATCTAGGCCAGGGAGAAGCCAGAGAGGTGCCAGGGGCAGCATTTAAGAAGGCACCGCCCTGTCCTTTAACCCTCTGTGACTTTCGAGGGTGGAGGGGAGGGTCTGTGGTTATCCCATCTTATAACAGAAAAAGAAAAAAATTTTTTCAATTAATAAAAATTTTGAAAGAACAAATGTCAGAGAGCTAAGGTTACTTGCCCCAGAAAGTGGCCAAGGTGACCCCAGGGCCATCAGCCTCTGGCATCTGGTGACTTCACTAAAGGGCCTCCTCCCTTCTGTCCCCTGCATCCCTGGCCAGTCCTCGGGTGGCCAGCCTGGCAGAAAGGACACTGCAGCTGGGTTTGGAGGCTGGAGCTGGGGTCTCGACTCTGCCCAGCTCCCCGGGCCACCGAGGGCAGCTCCGGCTTCTCCGGCCTCAGTTTCCTGGTCTCAGGAGCTGGTGGCTGTGCTGCAGGGGAGCTGCAGACGGCAGTGGCCACGGGGCTGGGAGCGGGGCAGGCGAGGGCCAGGGGAGGTGGGGAGGTCAAGGGACTGGGGGGCTGGGGTGCACGGGAGGGCCCACCTGCTCGGTGAAGTCCCTTAAGGGAGTGTCCAGTGTGGCCTGATCCGGAGTTTTCAAGGTTAGCCAGCAGTGCCATCCTTAGGGGAAACTCCTCATTGTCAAAAGCTGGAAATCAAATGAAGCCTGTCTCTGGCCAGAGAGCGGCCATGGGACTCTGTCGAAGGCCGCAGGTGCTCCGCCGTGTCCACTTGCCCCTCTATAGGAACAGAAGCTCCAGTTGTAGCGGGGCTGGTGGCCCCAGGACAGAAACTCCACCCACCAGCTTCCCTCACAGCCAAGTACGGCTGTGGCCAAGTTCTGGAGCGCAGCAGTGACAGGGAGCAGGGTCAGCAACTTTGGGATCTTACCCTCCCAAGGAAGAGACGCGCCCACCCCTTCCTGCCCCCTGCCTGCTGACCAGGACAAGGACATGGTGTGGGTGGCCATGGCCCAGGGTGCAAGCCACCTGGGGGTGGAAGAGCGAAAGAGGGAAGGGGATTGGGTGCCCACTGGCCTGAGCCACCACACCCCCCCTCCCCCCCCCCGGCCATTCCCTGAGAAGAGGGTCCCTCTGGTTTGCGCTGTGTGGTGACTTCCCTGCAGGGAAGGAGCACGGCCCTTGGAGGGATCTTTCTTGGGTTTCTGTTTATCACTTATTTGTGTTTGTTTCTGCAGTGCTGTGGGTCGAGCCAGGGCCTTGCCCATGCTCAGCCAGGGCTGCGCCGCTGAGCCAGCACCCAGAATCCCCAGCGCCCACTCCTGCCCACTCCATCACCAACTTGCACTTCACAGGTGGGAGGGAAAGCAAAGAGTGTGAAGCTTAATGAGAAAACAGCCTAGGGCAGTCCCAACGCCAACAGGACCCCGTACCTCACACACAGCTGCAAGGAACACACCGTCAGCAGCAAAGTGCTATTGGCTTGGGGACAGTGCCACCTAGACCCTCTCAGGGGCTGCTGTGTGGTGGACAAGGACTCCCCTCACGGCCAGGGCTCCCTGTGAGCCCCAGGTTTGTCCCCAGATGCTGCGTTCCTTCTGTTGTCTGCCCTCCCATTCAGCGTGCTTCTCTTGAGGCTGAAGAGGTCCTCAGGACACGTCTGTGTCCTCATCCCATGGCTGCTGTGTGACCACTGGCAGATCACTGCCCTCTCTGGGCTCCTCACCTTCTAAGACCCAAGATGCCCCACCACCATCTCTGATTTAATTGGTTTGGGAGGGTGCCTGGTGTTGGTCATTGTCTATGAAGTCCTCCCCAGCAGGGGACTCTGGGCTAGGGAACGGAAGGGTACTAGGCATGAGGTGCCTGCCCTCCCCTGACCTCAGCTGCTGCTCAGCCTTCCCCCCTGGAGATGCAGGGCTGTAGGGACAGTGATCTGGGAGGGTAGTTGTGCGGAGGACCTTGAGGATCAAAGTCTCGCCCAGCAGTGGTGGAGTATAAAGCCCTTGGCTGGCCAAACCTGGGAGGCTGCACCTGCCGCTCAGCAAACACACCTGCCCCCGCCTCTGGGCAGCAGGAAGCCTCAGTCCAGCCTCCAGCAGGTGCTCCGCCAGGGCCACTCCCAACCCTGCTGAGCCTGTGCAGCTGAGAGAGGCCCCATGGACCGGGGGCCACCAGGGTCCCTCCCATGGCCATCACAGAAACAGCTTGGCCTTGCAGCCACACAGACAGGGCCTCCCTCCATCACCAACTTGCAATGACCTTGAGCGCGTCTTTTTTAACCTTGAGCCTCAACCAGCCTAGTTTTGGCAAAAGTGCTGCTGAGTGCCCAGCCCGGGTCCACAGCAGCCAGTGCAGCAGTCTGTTATTAAGGAGAGACAGGGTCGTGTGCAGTGGCGCCCGCCTGTCATCCCAGCAGCTCGGGAGGCTGAGGCAGGAGGATCGCAAGTTCAAAGCCAGCCTCAGCCACAGAGAGTCACTAAGCAACTCAGTGAGACCAGGGCTGGGGATGTGGCTCAGTGGTGGAGTGCCCCTGAATTCAATCCCCAGGACCAAAAAAAGAAAAAAAAAACAAAGAACAGGAAGAGAGAAGAGAAGGGGAGAAGATACGCTGGGTTTTCTTTTTTGAGTGCTTGCAGGAGTCAATAGATAATGCCCCAAGTTAATAAATCAAGAAATGGCAGGGTCGGCTGTTATTTGTGGCTCTGGAAGTAACCACCACATGAAGCTGCTAGACGGGGGGTGGTCCTGGGAAGGAGCCTTGCAGGAAATGTGTGTCTTTAAAAGTCTGTTTAGTAGAAGTTATTTATTTAAAAGGGACTTGACCTCTCCAGTGTGGATTTGAGAGGTCACCACCAGTAACAGAGGTCTTTGGGGACTACAAGGCCATGTGCAAGGTAAAGTGCTCAGGTTGTGGGGTCAGATTGCCAGGGTCAAACCCTCGCTCTGTAATTTACCGGCTGTGCCACCTTAGACAGCTCCAGAAGCACTCTGTGCCTCGGCTTCCTCATCTATAAAATAGGTTGAATAATAATTCCATGTTCCTCACATATACAATAAACAGTAACTGTGAGACATTATTTTTATTATCCCTGTAACATGTAATGGAATTGTTTTACAAAAATAAAATGAGTACGCTATACAGAGTTTTTGCATCTTTCTTTCCTTTTTCTTGCCAAGATATAATTCCAGGTCAGTACCTACATTTCTATTCCATTCTCCTCCCCCCCACACACATACTGGGGATTAAACCCAGGCGTGCTTTACCACTGAGCTACATTCCCACTCACTTTTAATTTTTATTTTGGGATAGGGTCTGGCTAAGTTGCTGAGGTTGGCCTCCAACTTGTGATCCTCCAGTCTCAGCCTCCTGAGTCGCTGGGATTACATGCATGCACCATGGCAACCAGCCTCCATTCTTCTAAACTTATGTAAGATGGCTGGGGTGGTGGCTCAGTGGTAGAGCGCTTGCCTAGCATGTGTGAGGCACTGGGTTTGATCCTCAGCACCACATAAATATAAATAAATGAAATAAAGGTATTGTGTCCATCTACATTTAAAGAATTTTTTTAAAAAATTAAAATGATGCAAGAATTCCATTGCACAGAACATAAAGTTATCTAGGAAAGTTGGGCAGTTTCCATTTTTAGTGTACTACATTTTGCGGTAATGAATGTATATTTAGGGACACACATGTAGCTATTGCTTTCAGGTTCCTGAAAGAGAGATTGTGCCACAGTCGGCAGCATGTTCCTGTAACCCTAGTGACTTGGGAGGCTGAGGCAGGAGGATTATGATTTGGAGGCCAGTCTGGGCAATGCAGTGATACCCTTTCTCAAAATAAAACAAAAAGGGCTGGAAATGTAGCTCAGAGGTAGCGCATCCCTGAGTTCCATCCCCAGTACCAGAGACAGAAAAAGAGAGAAAGAGATGGTAGGTACAGAATTTGTACAATTAAACTTTTTATTGGTACACCTTTACAAGTAGTACCAATCTAGAGTCACACCAATACCCTATGAAAGGTCTCATTGCCCCATATCCACACATTTTTTTAAAATTTTTGCCTCTGGTAAGGGGTGATCTCATTGTTTTAATGTGCTTCTCTCTAATTACAGGTGCAACTAAACATCTTTCCACCACTATATCATCCATTTTATTTCCTTCTCCTGCAAAACAAATATTTGTATCCTTTACCCATTTTTCATTGGACTTTTTATACTTTTTCTACTAATTTATAGGACCTCTTGCCTATTAAAAACCTTAATTCTTTAAGAGGTGGAAGACAAATATTTTCCCACGGTCTACTGTATACAATTTAGTGAAATTCTTGGTGCGCCTTTGGTCATGGAAGATTTTTACATTAGTATAGAGTCAAATATAATAGCCCCTTCTGGTTTTCATGTCTTACTTTAAAGGACTTACTTTGGCTGGAATTTATTTTAGATTCTCCTATATTTTCCTTTAATACTTGCATAGTGTTTGTGACATTTAGTCCCTCCGTCTTTAGTCCGCCTGAAGTGCTTGTGTGTGTGTGTGGTGTGAGGTAGGGATCTCACTTTCTCATTTGCTTCTAAATGAACAACCAGCCAGTGGGCCCAGCATCATTCACAGATGGATCCACCCTGTCCTGTCTGACGGGATTTCTCTTTGCCGCATGCACCTGGCAGAGCTCTCAATGTTGGCTTTGACAGCTGCTGAGATGACAGCTGAACGAGAGCTGGCACTTACCACCGTGAGGCAGAGCTCGGGGCCCAGCACCCACTACTACCGATGGACATCGGTGCCTTTGGTTTTGACTTTATTTTCAGATCAGCTTTGCTTACTCACAATTCAGCTTTCCACATTTCACAGACACAGGTTGATAACTTGACAAGTGAGTCCACTCTCGTAACAAACACCCCAATCATGATACAGAGCACGTCCTTTTTTCCAGAAAGTTCCTTTGTTCCCGGTTGCAGCCTCCCACCCACTTCCACCCTAGGCAACTACTATAATTCTAAACCACACGTATGCAGTGCATTGATAACATTTTCAGGGAAATAAATAACCCAGCTGCAGCTCGGGTCCGTTGGCTGAGGAGGGAGGCCAACTTCCCCCCTGGGGAAGACAAACACCTCCCCAAACCCAGGGACAACCCAGCCTGGGTCTCCCCCACTTCAGGCAGACAAGTTCCGTTCCAAGTCTAAACATCAAGTCTGCCAAATACGTACCTAATCTTTTCTTCTCCATCAATTGATCCTTTTATACTGACTTCAAAATGATTGCTTTCAGAAGAGAACACAATATCCCGCAAGAAATGACCAGGGCACCCGTCACTATTAAAGAAGTGCTATTTGTGATATCAAATTAAAAAAAAAATTAATCTCCTGGCTGGGAGTGGGGAGCCCTTGCCTAGCATGTGCAAGCTCCTGGCTTCAATCCCCAGCACCTCAAAAAAAAATTAATCTCCTGTTCCACCTAAAATCACATTGACATTCCCTCAGGGGATAGCCACAGACCTGGGGGAGAGAAGTGAGCAGGAGCAGAATTCCAAGCTTCCGGAGGGAGGCTGGTGCAGCAGTGGGGGGGCAGGCCAGGAGAGGGCGAGGCCACGGGTGGAGGAGGGGGAAGGAAACAGCCTCTTAGCTCATAAGTTCCAGGGTTTTTCAGCCATGAAAGCAAAACAAGGAGTTTTTGAAGGGTCACTCAAAAGGAAATACCTTTGGAGTTAGACAGACTGGGATCCATTTCTACTTACTCATGTGACGTTGGGGAAGAGAATACCCTTTCCAGCCTCAGTTTCTTCATCTGTAAAATGGGCATCCCAATAGCACTTCATTGTA